ACTATGTTCACTGTTTTAATAGCTTTTTAAAACTAACATTGAGTTAAGCTGATGTACTGATCTCCTACTCTTGGGTTTTTAGTTATTAGTGGGTCTTTTTTCTTTTCCCCTTAGATGTAGTTCCCCTCCCTATATTTTCAGTTGTAATTTGTAGTTTGCAAAAAAAACAATAACAAATTCCCCTCAGGGAAATCAAAAGATGAAGAAGCAAAAAATGGATAAGATATCCAGTCAATCCAACTGGCCAAGGCCATGGGCTTGTGCCCCTGTTCATGTCTAGGCTATAAATGTCTGCAGCAGGAGAGAAAAAAGTATTCTGCCTAGCTGTTTGAAGTCAAATTCTCCTCAGGGAAATCAAAAGATGAAGAAGCAAAAAATGGATAAGATATCCAGTCAATCCAACTGGCCAAGGCCATGGGCTTGTGCCCCTGTTCATGTCTAGGCTATAAATGTCTGCAGCAGGAGAGAAAAAAGTATTCTGCCTAGCTGTTTGAAGTTGGCAACCATCTTCCCTCAATTTCCCCTTGAATATGTAAATTGTAAGAAAAGATATGCTTAGAAGAGAGGAAGGCCCAACTGAGTGCGGAAAACTTGGAAAGTGAAAAAAGTTCTAATTTGAACACAAGCATGTGCTATGCACTTTCATTTGTTTAGCACAGGGGGGAGAATAAGCACTGTTGAACCTAGAATTCCAGTTTAATTCAAAGTAATAAATCAAGGTTGTTATATACCTTTGGATACTTTTATCATTTTATTTTCTGTAAGAGCAGTACTAGATAGATTAGATAGACAGACCTTTGGGCTAGTTTTAAAAACGTTAAAAATCCCATGTTCGAATCAAAGTTCCTGTGTTTTTGTAAAGGTAAAGGTAAAGGTTCCCTTGCTCGAAAACCAGTCGAGTCCGACTCTAGGGTTGCTGTGCTCATCTCCGTTTCAAAGCCGAAGATCCAGCGCTGTCCGAAGACGTTTCCGTGGTCATGTGGCTGGCATGACTAAACACCAAGGTGCATGGAACGCTGTTACCTTCCCACCGAAGTGGTACCTATTTATCTACTTGCAATTTCTTGCTTTCGAACTGCTAGGTTGGCAGGAGCTGGAACTAGAGACGGGAGCTCACTCCGTCATGCGGCACCTGGGTCTCGAACTGCTGAACTACAGACCTTCCACAGCCTGCAGTTCAGCATCTTAACCACTTGAGCCACCGCAGCTCCTTGTTGTAAAACCTGGCTACACAATGTCAGCCTCTGCAATCAAGGTTATCCTTGATTTATCCTACTTGCCTTATGTAGAACCTCCAGAGCTCCTGGCTTCCACATTTGCTACGATTCTGAAAGTAAGTCAGTTGCCTTGTTTCTTCTTGTGTGTTACGAGGCCTTTGAACTGTGAAGTAATTTTGTATTTTAATAATTTTAGGATATAATGGTATGTCTGTTCTCTAGGGAGTAACTTTTTTTTGCTAATGTACAGAGAAGAGTGGTCCCCAGGCCTCTGTGGATTGACTAAGAATAACATCTGTCACTAGCAAGAAGCAGTGTGCAAAATTAGAATTTCTCAGGACAGATTGAGAACAAGATTTGTTCATATTCTGAACTGTTAAAAAAGTATTACATTATAGAGTTGAATGTATTGTTAGGGTATACACTCTCTAGGCATAGGTGGTGGACCTTGTTGAAAAGTGTAAGATTCTTTATCTACACTAATCCAAGGGTTATTCCTTGGATACAAAAAGCTTCAAATATAATAGGTTAGCAAAAGTCTTGAATTCCCTTAAGGGAGGGGGACTATCTACTAATTTGGGAGTAAATAACACAAGTGCATCTCTAAAGACCAGTGTTCCCTCTACGCTCTGTCTGCCTCAATGGAAGCAGCACAACAGAACCCCTCCTTGCTCCCAGGAATTTTATCACCTCTTTTCCTCTTCCCACTGACCAGGTCAGGCCAATTCAAAGAAGCTTTTCCAGAAGTCTCCTGGAGATTTTTCCTGAGCTCTTTCTAGCTCCAAATCTCTTGCATGATAGATCAGAGGTGTCAAACTCATTTGTTACAAGGGCCGGATCTAACATAAATGTCACTTTGTAGGGCCGGACCATGTGTGCCATAAAACATAATGCTAGGTACCGGAGATATAAACTGTATAAAGGACAGCAGCTGGTAAGCTTTGAGTTGTCGTATCCTCACTGCAAGGCCCCATGAGCTGGGAGGGAGGTGCAAAGGAAAACCTATATGGGTGGACTGGAGAGCCAGTGGTGTAGCACTGGGCAGACGCTCCCATGCTGCTTGACTGCTGCAGATGAGGTTGTTCCGCCATGCTGAAACCACAGTTGGAGTGGCTCCATCCACCTACCCACCCAGCAGGCTCCTATTCCCTCCCTTGCACTGGTTGCTGACGGGCCACAAAAGAGCCCTGGACAGGCCAGTTCCGGCCCCCGAGCCTTGTGTTTGACAACCCTATGGTATATATCACTTGTCTAGCTGGGGGAGGTGGAAGTATCTCTGGCTAGACAGATTAGCATTTCTAAAATGTGGTTGAGGTGAGGCCAGAAAGCAATTGTAGCAACTTCCATCCCTCCTGGATGTTCTCTGCAAAGAGAAAGGAAAACTTCTAAAAATTCAAGGTAAAGGTTTTGCACAGTTCAAACCTCCAAAGAAAAATGCATTGGAAGTACATTTAAAAGTTTTCTTTCCCCCTCATTATGTTTTGAAGCTTATCTGAGTTGATGGCAGTTGTACCAGCTGACTGGTATAGTGGAGGGCTTGTGATGGTGTATGAAGAACAAAGTGTGTGGGGGGGGGCAACCAAACTTTCCCAAAAGTATGGTAGTGCGGGTAATCAGACTTGTCCTCACTCTCACACTAATGACCGCAGGTAGTGTTGTCTACTATATTCCATGCCTTTTGCTGCATCATCTGCTATGTTAGTATCCCTGGGATTTTTTACTGACTGGAGGTCTCTTTAAAAGTATGACAGCACTAATAAATAAAGTTTCTTTTTGCTGTTAGTGTGGCCTGCAGTCCTCTGAAGTGTAATGAAATATTTTGATATTATTGGGTGAAAGATGGAGGCTGTTTTGGGAAAAAAATAGGTAGTAGCTGGACTTCTGGCAGGAATAGTTCTTCATATATCACATACTTCTGGTGGAACTGAGAGCCTATACAGTTGACCAGCATAATCTAGGCAACCTTAATAGGGCCAATAGCTGCAAGGGGTGGGGATAGTGTAGGGAAAGGAGACCCTGATCCAGATTAGGATGGGGACACAGATATTGTTTACTATTTGTTGCACTTTCAGCACCGCCTCTAGTTTTGTCCCTCCACCTCAACCCCTCCCTATGGTGATAGTGATGACATTTTATTTTTTGGTATGGATTGTAGTGTGACAGTGTATGTGAAGCTCTTTCAACACATTTCAAAGCACTATACAAATTTTAAGCTATAAATGCAATATCAAAAATAATGGACAGTGAATCTAATGAGCCTAACCTGCTATTAGTGAGGTTATACACACGAGGAGTACAAACTGATCAACATTACCTAAGTAGAACCTGGAGATACTGCTATAATACTATAAATTAATCAGTTTGTCTCTACCAGGTTGCCCTCCAGTTCTGTAACTACAAATAACCATTGATATTTTAAGAAAAATACTCATTTAGCCATAGAAAAGAAGGGTTAAAGCATCTTGTGGCATTCTGGTGCATAGACATATTTTAACTTTTATGTTCAACCATTAGATTATTTCCACCCACATACAAATGTACTTTTTGATTATGCTACAATGTGTTTGGCATTCTATTGCTTGCTGAACAATCAATAGTGTTTCAAAAGAACCAATATATAGTGTTCCATCTGCAGTAATGCTAACTTTAAAGCATCTATTTGAATGTTTGAAGATGTTTAAATAGTACAAGAGGATATGCCAGGATAATTATTACCAACTAGGAATAAGGCCCGTTGTGGAAATAAGTACAACAGTCTCTAGACTCTGGGTGAGTGCCCTGGCCTTGGGTACTCAGCATCAGTTTGCTGTGGTGACCTCAGCAGGGTATAATGTCACAGAGTCCACCGTTTTCCCCAGGGGAACTGATCTCTGTCAACCGAAGAGCAGTTGTAATTCTGAGTGATCTCCAGCCCTCACCTGGAGATTGGCAACAATGTTTCCCCAGGAGGCAATGGCTGGTTGGGAGGGTTGAGTCTATGGTATTGTGCTTGTCTGAGGTCCCACACCTCCTCAAATCCCACCCTATCCAGGAATCAAATATACAGGAATTTCCCAAGCTGGAGTTGGCAACCATCAGGCTACTTTTATCTGCCCCTCTGACTTCAGCTTTCCTTCCCCCCCCCCAGCTCTGCC